CCCCAAAACCCCAAAACCCCAAAACCCCGTGACAATAATATAGCTTAAATTTGTTAATATTTTAATAATTAGAAATAAAATCATGAAATTATAGTGTAATTATGTTTAAGTGATTGTCAATTTGATTTTGAAATTGTAGCACTTTCCTCTAATTCCCCAACATTAAATTTAGCAAGTTTATCTTGCATCTTTTTATATTTCTCATACATCTAGGTAATAGATCCTATTTTACCTACAGAAGCACTTTCATCATCTTCCTCATCACTGTCTTCTTCATCGCTATCATCATCCTCTTCTTCATCATCCTTTTTATCTTTCTTTGAGTTCTTCATATATTCAGTCACTTATTTTGAGAATAAAGCAACACCTGGTTTTTCTGTGCTCATGCTGCTAGACATATATGACTCTCTCATATAATCAGTACTCTTTCTTTCCTCTCCAATTTTCTTAACTAAGGCAGAAGTTTTCCCTCCTCTCACACTTTCACTTTCATCATATCTGTAGCTGCTGTAGTTATCTCCACTACTTGAGCCAGGTCCACCTTTTTTAGATCCTTTAGACGAATTCTTTATACTTTATGCTTCTTCATCTTCAGCCTCCCTAATTGGTGAGTACTTTCTTTGATGCTTGATGGAAGGGTTATCATCTTTCGATATCGAATTCTTTTTTCCCTTGCCTCCTATTTAAACTTTTGTGCAAATTTTATTATGCTGCAAAGCTTAACTCTTTGGTATTTAATGTTTACACATAAAGCATATCACTGTGGCTTCATTGCTAATGGTCTTGGAATCTCCAATGCTTTCGAATTCATTAGAATAGCTATCATCATCATTTTTAGTATTTTTATTTAGACTTTTCTTTACTGATAATTATACAGACAAGCCAGCCTGACTTTTAGAAAGACTTTCAAAGTCATCGTCATAATTATCATCATAGTTTTACTCATCTGTTATTTCAGATTACTTTCTTTGATGAGTTTCTTTGATACTTGTGAATCTATTTACACTAGTATTCTTAGTAGCATCAAAAGCAATAAAATTGTTCAGCTTCACAGTTGGTTCAATATACTATTTCTATTATGAAACTCTGAGTGAAGTATCATTTTTATTCCTCATACTAACAGACACACCCAAATTTTATGTTGATGTTAATTCTTCTTCCCATTCTTTCCTTGAAGATTATACAACCTAATCATTGTCATCGACTGAAATGCTTTCTAATTTACCAGCTTCATCCTTATAAACCAGATCTTCCTCAGTGTCCTGAACTTTTATTTATTTTTGTCTATTAGAATTACTTGCTGGTGACTTCAGATTAGACTTCTTTTGCTTCTAATTGCTATTTTTGTTTTTGTTTAGGGATACTTCCTTTTAGAATTTAATTTTCTTTTGACTAGACCTTACTTCATCATCCTCATCATCATACTCTGAATCATATGAGCTTGAATGTCTTCTTCTTCGATGGCGCCTTCTTCTCTTTTTACCACTTCTCTCAGAATCCCCTGCTACATCAAGTGCTTTCAATTAAATTAGCTCCTTTACAAGAAATTCCAAAACATTCAATCTATCTTTTGGATCAAGCCCTCTAATTTTTTCAATGTCATTTAGCTATATATAATCTTTATCTTGTCTCTTTTATTCTATCTCAATAGTCTTCTATTTTTATTCTTCTAACTACTATTGAAGTAATTAATGCTACCTAGCTATCATATCTTATTAGTGCTTGATGATTTTTTGCTTTTCATCAAGCTAGTCTAGATATCTTTCCTCTTAAAGATTCAATGCTTCTTTTACAATTTAAATTTACTGGCTTTTATTCCCCTTCTATAATTTTGCTGATTATTTCAGAATCAATGCTTTTTCAGGCTAAGGCTTTGCCTTCTTTTCATAAAACATAGGAGGAGGACAAAAAGGCTGATCCAGCATTTACTATAGTGAACATTCTTTTTATTTAGCATTAATAGAATATCTATGGTCTCTGTCTAATTTTTGAACATACTATTCATTATCATTAGATTATCTTGAACTACTTTCCTCCTATATTGATTCGCTTTTGCTTGATGGTTGATCAATCAAGATCAAGTCATCATTTTTACTCTTATTCAACTTAGATTAATCTAATTAGAGTTATTTCTTTTCTTTGTTAACTTGCTTATTCTAGGCAATTATCAAATTAGGATCATCATTCTCTTAAAAATGGACCTAAACTCTGCTACTCTCTTTTTTCTAGGCTGAATTTCCTGAATCCTTGCTTTTAAACATTTACAATTACATAGTGGCTTTATCCTCTTCGCCTATCTTTGCATTTGGTATAAATGGATGAATTCTATCAAGTTTTGAATTTAGTTTTTCTTGTTCATTTCTCTCCAAAAGAGAGATTCCTATCGTAGAGTCTAATTTCATCACCTCATTTTTGAGATTGTCAAAGAGATACAGATAATTTCTTCTCAGATTCAAGTTTTAAGTCTCTACTTCAAAATAAGCCTGATCTTAAGCAAACAAAAGTAAACTGACGTTGCTGGATGCAATTATTTAAATACTATAAGAATGATTATTTCATCTTTTACTTACTTATTGGGTTAAGCATCAACAAACATAACAAAGAATGGCTTTTAAGTTAAAGCAGTTTTTAAGTCTTCAGAATTCATTTTAAAATTGCACTTCTTTCCAGAATTAAAACTCAAACTTCCATTTGATTTAATAACCCCTGAAATAAAATATTGCATATACTATTACCATCAATAATCAAAGTGGGGAAATCTAAGAATCTTATTGCTATTGCAGGCTTGGCGATATTGTAAATATCCTTTGTCAGTGAGCATTCATGAACAAAAAATTAGAATTTAAAGAGATATTCTCCCTCTAGACGCTCCTCTACTATAGCCATTTATTTCTTGATTAGAAAATAATTCAAAATTTAAATTAACTTTTTATTTGTACAATTATCAATCATGGGGTTTTGGGGTTTTGGGGTTTTGGGG